CCTACACCCACAGTCTGAGAGAAGGGAAAGACCACAAGTGTCTGGGCACCTGAGCTCAGCCTGCCCCACGTGGGGACAGGAAGCTGCAGACCACAGTGGTCAGGAGAGGCTCGCGGTGCAGTGCTGTGGCTGCTGGCTGACAGTGACTGGCTTCGAGAAGACACCATTCCAGTAAGGTACCGGCATCTCCTAGAGGCCCTTGATGCACAGCTGGTGTCCAAGGGAGGGCGTGTGTGGCAAGCACTTGGCATGTGCCAGTCAGGCCTTCTGGTACTGGCTTGTGGCCACCGGTGCGGGCAGAGCCACCATGGCAGTATAGAGCCCGACCTGAACAAGGCTGTGCGATGGTGCCAGGCTCCGGGAACATAACTTGGTGCCAGTGGCCTCTGGAACAGCTAAGGGCAAAGCCTGGTTTGGCCTGAGGAACTGCCAAGTTGTCCCCAGATGCATATTCTCTGGGCTGTCCTCTGAGACTCAGCGGAGTCCAGGCCTCTCTGCACCGTGTACTCTGGCAACCCCCTGCTTCAAAGGCTGGCTGCCTGCCTCTGCTGGGGGTTTCTGCAGAGACTGGCTGAGGACTCCCCTTGGGGCTCTCCATCAGGTTCCCTTGAAGTTTTGTTTCATGCCTGCTCTTCTCCCTGGAAAGCTTGCCAAAGCGTCCTCTATGCTTTCCTAGCTCCCAAAGCTGCCTGTTTCCGGACAGCACTTCCTCACTGTCTTTTCTTCATTTTTGGTTGTTTTTAAATTTTCCTGTGACTTCCCAAAATTTTAGCCAATCCCAGCTCTACCCAGATATAGATGTTTTTACTAATGCTAGCAATTTAGCATTTGTGCAGAAATGCTGATGGTAGTGGTGGTGGTGATTTCAATATGGAGGAGTGTTTACTACAGGCTGAGAAGACGTGTGTGTGTGTGTGTGTAAAAGGAGGTTGCATTTGAAATATCATTTTTCATTGATTCAATAAAAGATATATAATAAGTTCATGTTAATTAAACTATGTTTAAAGTATAAAGCAATGTGAAACATCATCCATTTTAATTAGAAAAGTTTGTAGAGCCAGGCACCACCATGGGCTCAGATGTTACCCACACCCTGGAAACAGCGGCATGCAGACTCTGCCAAGTGAGTTCTGTCCAGCCCGAACTCATGAGGTTTTGATGCATTAGCCCAGAATGAGCACCATCAAGACATCAACAAGCCCTAAAGACAATAAGATTTGTATTCTGGAAACCCAACAGTTCTGGCGTTCGGGGTTGATCTCCAACAGTAGCAAACAAATGAAAGATGGAGTTGGAGACAAAGAATTGATCCACCCTGTGAAGAAATTCCTGCTCTGCTACGCAGGGCAGCACTGGGGTCCATTTCTCAGCAGCTGGGCAGTTGTGGAAGGTCTCGGGGTTATGCTCCATTGTAGTAAAAATAGTACTTGACTGGACCTTAACCAGCATCAAATGTATATGGTGCCTGAGAACCCAGCTACGTAGCCAGTTATTCTTCTTTTGAGTTCTTCTTCTTCCAACCAGCAGCCTTGGCTTCAAGACGCTGTCCAGATTCCAGCTGATACAAAAGCCCAGGAACAAATTTTGCCTTTGCAGTAGACCACCCTCTCCCTTCTTCAAGAAAAGCCTCCTTCAGCCCCTAGCTGAGTCTCTTCTCAACCCCTATTTCTCACCTCCCTATTCTGTCCCATTTAGCATGTGGACCTTCCTGGGGAGACCTGAGTGTATTCTGTGTCTGTTTTCTGCCTTATCCATGATGGCTCCATCCAACCTTAGCCAGTTACCCAAGTAAGTATATTCAAAACAATGAAGAGGTCCCATTTAAGGTATACCTAGAGTCCCCAAGGGAAAAGCTTTTAAAAACTCTTGTGTGTGCGAATGTGCACACAAGCATATGATGGATATGTGCATGATTGTGTGCATGTGACATGGTGCATGTGTGGAGGTCAGAGGACATCTTCAGATGTCAGTCTTTGATTTCTACCTCGTTGGAGACAGGGGCTCCCTTGTTGTCTACCGCTTCCGTGGATTCTCCTCTCTCTGCCTCCCATTCCCATATAAAGGTGCTGGGATCAGATACATGCACTATTACGTTTGACATGCATGGCCTTTACCTGGATGCTGAGAATCTGTAAGCACTTTCCACATTGAGCCACAATCGTAGCTCCTTTCTCTTCCTTTTCCTCCCTCCCTCTCCTCTTCGCTCTTTTTTTGGAAACAGAGTGAGCTTTATATCCCAGACTGACTTTGAACTCCAGTTTTCCTGGGCCTTTTGGCTCAGCAACCTGTGCTCTAGATTTGAACATCTTCTTGTCCTTGCAGGCTTAATCAAACTCACCTGACCCCCTTGTTGCTGCGGATTCGAAAGGTAGGTCTGAAAGTTGAGGGATCACAGTTCACACTGGAAGGTTCCCCATTCCGGATCCTATCTGGCACTATGGACTACTTCCGGATACCGAGGCAGAACTGGAGGCTCAGCTTGAGAAAGATGAAAGCTTGTGGCTTCAACACCCTTACCACGTGAGTTGCTGCTTCTGTTTCTTTTTTTTATATTTATTTATTTTTTAATTAATTTTACATTCCAACTAAAGTTCTCCCTCACATCCCTCCTCTGCTCCCCTCACCTCCTCTCCCTAGCCCACTCCCTATCCACTCCTCCCATAGGTAAAGGCCCCCATGGTGAACTGACACAGTTTGCCATATTTAGTTGGGGTAGGACCAATCCTCTTCCCTCTGTATTAAGTCTGAGCATGGCATCCCACGAAAGGTTATGGGCTCTCACACGCTAGCTCATGCACCAGGGGGAGATCCTGTTCCTACTGCCAGGGGCCCCTCAGGTAGCCCACGCTTCACAACTGACTTCCGCATATGGAGGGCCTATTGCAGTCCTATGGAGGCTCCACATGACAGACATGTATTATGGGGGAGCTTCTTATGTTTCTCTTTTCCACATGACAGGCATGTTCCTTGGAACCTCCACGAGCCATCAGTGGGCCAGTTTCAGTTCACTGAAAACTTGGACCTCATGTATGTGTTCATACTTTAATTACTTGATTCTGAGATTCAGATAGGGATGTGCCTGGGGAACTGGGTGAAGGAATGGATTATAGCTTTGCTTTTTAGTGGCTGTTGTCTTGTTGTTGTTTTGAGGCAGGGTCTCACCATATAACTCCAGCTGGCCTGGAATTCTCTATGTAGCACCCCAGGCTGGTCGCACATTCACAGAGCACTGCTTGCCTCTGCTTCCTTACTGCTAGAATTAAAAGTGTGTGTCATCAACCCTTGGCCTATAATTCTGTTTTAAACATAATTCTGTTTTAAGATGTATTAACTTTTTACCTCGTTTGAAGCCTGCTTCAGCCATTGGTCTATGGTTTACATAGGCCATGTTGTTATAGTAAAGTCTGGACCTTGTTTTAGCCAGCATTTTACAAACTGTATCGTGAAGAATCTGCTCTCTTAGTTATAATGGCAGATTTCTGAGCTATAGTTTATAGTTTCCATGATGTGATAGAAGTAGAATAATTTTTTTAATTAATTAAAGCAATACTGACTTCTGGAGTATTATTTTGGGGAAGCTCTAGAGAGGAAGGCAACTACGTATTGAGACTGTTACAGACCTGGCTAGGGTCAAGTCGGGAAAGACAGTGGTGATGACAAAGTTGAGTCAAGTTTAGAAGTTGCTTAGAAGTAAATGGGAAGGGGCCGTGTGCAGCAGAGGCAAAGTCAGAGACGTGAAAAAGTAGTGCATGTCACTCAAGGTGATGTTAGATGCTGTAACATGTAAGCCTCACGTCCCTGCAAAAGTAAAAGTCTGTTTTCATTTAAATGGGATCTTCCTGACTGGCATATATTTCTCTTCCAATAAATAATAATGGGAGGAATTCAGGCTATTTTTGTCTTAAATCTTCAACACTTTTGTCTAAGTCACAGTCCCTTTGAGTACAAAGCCCACAAGAGGAAGAAAGAAAAAAAAAGGAGGGAAGGAAGGGAGGAAGGAAGGAAGGAGAGAAGGAAGGAAGGAAAAGAGTTGCTGTGCAAAGCTATTACTTTGAGGGAAATGTCACTGTGACTGCTTTCTTTCCAGAGCTTTTGTCACCATGGCTTCAGACGAGGGGCTCTGGGTCATTCTGTGTCCAGGTCCCTACATTGGCAGTGACCTGGACCTTGGAGGCTTACCCAGGTGTGTTGTGGTCTGAAGGTCCCTGGGTGGGAAACACATTCACAGGGCTTTATTTCTGGACTCATTTTGAAAACCTACACCATTTTGTTTCCTGATGGCAGGTACTTATGGGTATGTTTTTGAGTTTAGCTGTTTTCTCTTAGTTAACACTTTCAAAGTTTATGCATGTGGTAGCAGGACCATTTATCTGTGCTGTTTTCCTTTTTCTAGCTGAGTATTTTCTGAGATGGTCAGGTTTTCCATCCCTCACACACACAAAGCAAGAACTTCCAAACAGTATCATTCTGGAATACAGGTTGATAGTTTTTTCCTAAAAGAGCTGAGATGCAAGGATTGTCACAAATTTGGGGCCATCCTGGGCTGCATAATGATGTAGGCTTCTAGGATAGTCAGTGCTATGTAGTACGATTTTGATACAAAGTCCTAATAGCAAATATTTTAGGTTTTCCAAGCCACATACAGCCTGAAAACTGAAGGAAACTATGTGAACAACTGGGTTCAATTGTGCTGACAAAACTATTTAATGATCAGAGAGCAGGTCAGACTTGGCTTTTGGGCTGTACTTTGGTGAACTCTGTCTTGAATCACAGTTACAAATTCCCCTAGCCCCCACATCTTTGGGGCATGGGGATGTTTCTCATAGGCAGAGATTGCTCTTTCTTGGAGCTGGACCACATCCCCACATCTCACCGTCTCTATGGCCTTGCAAACAGGGGCCCTGTGTTAGATCTCCTTTGCCGTAGTGTTTCCTATCACCGGTTCCCATCCTGAGTCTGAATCTCACCTTTTCAATCACAGCTGGTTACTCAAGGATCCCAAAATGAAGCTGCGGACAACTTACAAGGGATTCACCAGAGCGATGAATGAGTATTTCAATCATCTGGTTCCCAAGATAGCAATGTTCCAGGTAAAATCCAGTCCTCGTCTCTGCTGGTAAGGGAAGTGATTGCCAGCTTAACTTCCTGGCTCATTGCGGCTTGTTGCTTGCTCCTTTCTGTGCTCTGAGAAGCTCGTGTAGGAGGGTTCTATGGGTTCCTTTCATTGATCAAATAAAGAAACTGCCTTGGCTTTTTGATAGGGCAGAATTTAGATAGGTGGAGTAGACCAAACAGAATGCTGGGAGAAAGAAGCAGAGTCAGATAGATGCCATGGCTCTCCTCTCCAAGACGGACGCTGGTTAGACTCATGCTGGTAAGCCACAGTCACGTGGCAAAACACATTAATGGAGATGGGTTAAACTAATATGTGAGAGTTAGCTAATAAGAGGCTAGATATAATGGGCTAGGCAGTGGTTAAATGAATATAATTTGTGTGTTGTTATTTCGGGGTATAAGCTAGCCAGCTGGCCGGGAGCCGGGTGGTGGGAAGCAGCCCACCACTCCTCATTACAACAAGAAGCAGGGAGCATATGCTGGTACTGTGTATGTTTGCAGCCAGGATTTCCAGGTTATATGTAAGGAAGCTTCTATCTTTAGACTCTAATTGGGCATGATGGCACATACTGTATTTTCTGCCTTTGACAGTTGAAGTGAGAAAATCCAGCCTGAGCTACCTATTGAGTCCTTCTCTCAAAGCAGGGACAGGATTTGGATTTAATTACTCTCCTTTGATCTTCCCACAGCAGCTGTTCAACTCTGATCTATCTATCTATCTATCTATCTATCTATCTATCTATCTATCTATCTCTATCTATCTATCTATCTATCTATCTATCTATTGATCTATTGTGTGAGATGGAACTCAGATTATAAGGTTTTGTGGTAAGTTATTTTGCCTTAAGAGGCATCTTGCCTTCCCAGTTTGACTTTTTCAATATTTACTTTTACCTTATCTATAATCATATATATATATATACATACATACACACACACATATATATACATACATACATATATAAATGTACCATGTCATGCTTGGTGCATAAGGAACCTGAAAAGAGTGTTGGATCCCCTAGAACTGGAATTACAAAGAGTCGTGAGCTACCATGCGTTTCTGGGAATTGAACCCCAGTCCTCCAGAAGGGTTCTTAGTTATTGAGCCATCTCTCCTGCCTCTCTTTGCCACCCTGAGTTTGACTTTTGAATTTGAGTCTTAGATCTTTTCCTGATCTAACAATTAGTGTTGTAAGGTTTTCTTGCATTATTAGGCAGTGGTAATGGGTTCACAGATCCTGGTCAGCCATGCTCTCCCAAGGAAAATAATGTGTCCTCTAGTGATTTGGGGTTCTCAGCTGCAATCCTCGGTGTTTAGTGTCTTTTTACCAAACAATATTTTCTTATCTTTTTTTTATAAAAAGGTTTTATTTATTTTCACATGTCTGAGCCTGGATGAATGTCTGTGCACCACACCTGTGCATTGCTCAAGGAGGCCCTTGGGACTGAGTTGCAGAGAGTTGTGAGCCACAGTGTAGGTGTTGGGAGTTGAACCCAGGTCCCCATGAACAGAAGCCAGTACTCTTAGCCTCTGGTCCCTCTCTCCAGCCCCAAAACAATATTTTCAATTTAGGTTGGCTTCAGTTGAGACAGAACTGCACATTAGGCTGAAGAATGTCTATTCCATGTAGAAAATGAGTAGAGAGTGATAAATTTTAATTACTTTGGTCTCAGTTAGGATTTCTGTGGCTGTGAAGAGATAACATGAGCACAGCAACTTTTAGAAAGGAAAAGTTTAATCAAGACTGGCTTACAGTTGAGAGGTTTAGTTCGTTATCATCATGGCAGGAAGCCTGGCAGCATGAAGGCAGATATGGTACTGGAGAGGTAGCTGAGAGTTCTGCATCTTGATCTGCAGGCATCAGGAAGTGACAGTGACACATTGGCCAGGCTTGAGCTTCTGAGACCTCAATGCCCACTCTCCTAGTGACACACCTCTTGCAAAAAAGTCACACCTATTCCATCAAGGCCACACCTCCTAATAGTGCCACTCCCTATGGACCTATGGGGGCCATTTCCATTCAAACCATCACAAAATCAGTACTTACCAAACTTATTTTATCCTCACAGTAATTATTTTAGATTAGTATATATTAAATGGAGGCAATGCCAAAACATGCGTTTGTTTAGATGAATGTTTCACATGGTTGAACTTTTTGGGGGAATAGACTATCATTGCTCCAGAAAGCTATTAAAACTCATAAGTGACCAACTACACAAGCCAGTGCACATTTGAGAGATAGGCAAGATGCCCTTTTTTAGATACATGGTGTCCACAGGCACATTTAGCTGCTTAAATCAATGTAAACAAAGTACAATTAGAACTTAAGTTTCCAGGGCACACACTTCTCCTTCACTGTACCAATAACTGGTTGCTATTATATTGACAGTATACAAAGAGAACCTCAGGTTAGGGTAGTAACTCAATTGGTAGAGTGGCTACCTTCCACAAAAGCCCTGAGTTCAATCCTCAGCTTCAATAAACCAGTGTGGTTTTCCAAGTTTGCAGTTCCAGAAGTTAGGGGGTAGAGGAAATAGGGCCAGAAGATTGTCTTCCTGGTCATAAGGAGTTTGACACCAGTTTTTGATATAAGAGACCGTGCCTCAAAAATTAAAAAACAAGCTGGGTATGGTGGTGTACATGTTTAATCTCAACACTTATGGGACAGAGTCAGGCAGATCTCTGTGAGCTCAAGGACAAACCATCTACATAGGGAATTCCAGACTAGTCAGGGCTCCATATTGAGAACCTGTTTCCAGAACAGAACTGAACAGAGGACATTTTCATCCCTGCAGCCGTCTGTGCTCACCCTTTTTAATTTAGGATATTGCAGCCTTGAAACTTCAACCTGGAATCCCTAAGTGAGTTCAACCTCTTCCAGGGATGAGTTTTCTCCAGGCGATGTTGGGAGGTCTTGGAAATGCCCCCTGTAGCCTCATGGGTCAGTACTCCCACACCACTGAGCAATCCTCTCTAGAATGTTTCAATCAAACTTATCACATTCCAGCTCTTCTGCCTCAGGTCATTCTGGGTCCTGATAGCTTCTGGATTGTTCTTCTTTTACGCTCTGTTCTTCATCAGAGAGATAAAGAGCCTAAGACAAAAGAGAAGAAGCTGCTTTTGAAAGTCTTTCCATGTTTGTCAGCTAAGAGTATGCGCTTTAGAAAATTAAAGTACACCTTTAGTCTTGGTGTCCTTTTTACTTCCCTGCTAAATAACTTAGGAATGGTGCTTGCTTGCTTAGGATAGATGCTTGCTCACTATCTTCCCATTTCAACTCTGGCTGTCTTGAGTATCTCCTCAGTCATTATGGTCAGATTTGGGTGTGCAAACACTTCAGTCAAAGGAGTACAGAATCCTGGACACTCCCATGTCGCTAACATTGTCATGGAGTTGAATTCCTTAGAGTGTCTTTCTCCCCACATGTGAGACACCTTCTGGTTAGCTTACATGTTCCTGAAGGAAGTTTGAGGAAATAATTTAAGTTTGGCTATGAAAGTGAAAAGGACAAGATGGAGTCACTAAGAGGCTGGTGGTTTATGCAAGTTAATCTTCACATAAGACCTTAAAGCATCTTAAGTGAAGATGACGGTGCCAAAGGCAGTGCCCCCTAAATGCGAAGTTCTTGGGCGATGGGAGGGTGACTCTGGAAGTTTGAGCCCTCACAATGAACATATTAACGTATGCAGAAATAGTGGTTTTTCAGGGGATACTTTTAAAGGAACTATTTTGGAAGCATTTGACTTCTCACATAGAGGCACTGATGGTGAATGAAAGAAATGACCATCACTGAGGTTCAGTCTGGAGTTGGGTGTGCCTAGGATTCAGAAAATTCAGTCTTATTTAATCCCATCAATATCTCATTCTTCTATTCTTCCCTTCTTGACCCTCAGTATACAAAAGGAGGCCCTATCATTGCTGTGCAAATTGAGAATGAATATGGCTCCTACAATATGGATAAGAAGTATATGGCATATGTCAAAACGGTAAGTGCTCTGCTTCTGTGGTTTGTTATATTGTGGCACAAACACATCCCGGATGCCTGTAGCTTGCCTGGAACTGTGAACTGTGCGGATGGATAGGGTCCAGTTTTATGTTTGATCTTTGGTTATATTCTAGTCAATGGCCTGGCAATAACACGGATGGCTCTGACAGATTGCAGAGACCCACACTAGGACAGCTTCACTCTCTAGGACTCTCAGCTTCCTTCTGAGTGACATTTAACATGTGCTTCTCCATTCTTTTACTTTCAGATGTAACCATTTCTTAGGATACGAATAAACAGTACATAATGTACACAGCCAGATTTGCTGTTGTGCTGGGAGTGGTGAAGGTCAGAGGGTTGACTGTTCAAGATCACCCTCAACTACATAGTGAGTTGGAGGTCAGCCTGTGTGACATGAGGCCCTGTCTCAAAACACCACTGTCTGACTTTCCTTTTCTGTGGCTGTGGTAAAATATTCTGACAAAAGCAACTTTCGGGAGAAAGAACTTATTTTAACTCAGGGTTCAAGGGCCAGTGCTTCTAGTTGGGGAAGTGAAAGCAGCTGGACCTCAGAACTATTACGCCTGCGTTTTGGAACCCCAAATAAATTCATGAAGCCAGTTTCCAATCTAAATACAAATGGAACTTATTTAGGAAGCTTAAACTTGGATCACAAACCTCCAGCACAGTGATGCTTCTTCAGTGAGTAAGGAGTGAGCAACGCCTTGAGCCTGAGGAAAAAGAGCCTTTAAAGGGGAAACGCCAGAATTAAGGTGCATACATGTTTTAGGGTCTTGCGATTGGTTAGGGGGCTACAGAGTAGGATGATTTCTGAAACCATTGGTCAGTTTTTGTGCACGAAAACCCTAACAAAGAAACAATAATTACTGACAAGGTATCTGCGAGGGCAGGATGTCTTCAGAGACATTTGATCTTTGTTAAATGTTTCTGGTCCTGCTCCTTAGCTCCTTAATTGGCTATTTCTAAGGTATCCATTTAAATTAATATGCTATTGCAGCATATTCCAGGAGCTGAGGTCAGCTCCCAGTCACTATATGGCTTAAGATGATGAAGCCCCTTTATAAAAAAAGGTCAGATCCTTACACACACACACACACACACACACACACACACACACACACACACACTTTGACTGGTTCCTGAGAATTTCAGTCACGGAACTCTATAGTGTCCCTGGTCTCTTGGAGGAGGGATTGATATTGGGTTCATATTACCATCAGTTAGATGGCCCCAATTTTTCTTTTATAAACTGGACCAATTTGTTTACAATGCAAGGCCCAAATGTGAGAAGCATAACTAGAACAAGGCCAGGCCGCCTCTAACTTTGGCCATGGATTCGTTCATTATCCCCGAATAGTCAACATAGAAGCAACATTTTTTACCCAGTGCTGCATATAGTCTCCCTATGAAAGAGAGTTTTCCTTTGACTTAGTTTCTCAACCAGGGATCACAGGGTAATATATTCTTTTACTGTAACTGCTTCTGCCTGACTTTGGGACATTGTTGTCAGGGGCAAAGAAGGCAAAGAGGGAATTCAGGCAATGGGGTTTTATCGGAAGCATCTGGTCCACAGACTCTGTTGAAAAGACAGGGAGCATTCACATTGGCTGCACTGGTCCACATCAATTTTCAGCAAGCCCGGGGCTCACAAGTCATTCAGAGCAGGTTGTAGTCAGCAACTGATGCTTGGATGTTTCTGCCAGGCAAGTGGAAACCTGTTGAGACAAGTTCAAACTAGGAACATAAGTTAAAATTTATGTATTTAAAGGAAAACAATACATTTGAAACTTTCAGGTCCCTATCATAGAAAAAGCAGATAAAAGGTATTTGTAAAACAGCAGGAGTAGACTTGTTCCTTTGTGTTCTAGCAAAAACTATAGATTTGGGTTAGAAGCATGTACGTTTCCCTTCTGTCCAAAGAGCCAGGTATGGATTGGAAAGTGATGTCTTGGGACTGATGAAAAACATCTTTAAGTTTATATTTAGATGGAAGCCAGAATAAACCTAAAATCTTGAGCTTGTGACCCAAATAGTAAGTAGTTATTGCTCTACCAGCTTATCAGAACTATACCATAGAAGGGGAAAGAAATCTGAAATATTTTTCATATCTTTTTTTTTTTTGAGACAGGGTTTCTCTGTGGCTTTGTAGCCTGTCCTGGAACTAGCTCTGTAGACCAGGCTGGTCTCGAACTCACAGAGATCCGCCTGCCTCTGCCTCCCGAGTGCTGGGATTAAAGGTGTGCGCCACCACCGCCCGGCTATTTTTCATATCTTAATCATCTATGTATACTGCTATAACCTGTATTTACATCTTAAATCATATGACCTTTTATATCCTCAGACTTTCTATATAAAATGAGCTAACAAGTTGGGAATAACCTTGTGGAAGGATCTGGCTGTCTGATGCCGCCGAGCTGAAAAAGTTATAGCTAGCTTAGCCATCAATACTATCAGAGCTCCCAGGAGGATAAATAATTACACCCGAGAACAGACCAAGCAGCTTTATAACCTCTTAAAAATTGCAGGAACCAGTGTATATACAGCCATACCCAAGTCTACATAGCTTTGGAGGCAGAAGTATCAGAACAGCAGTTTTTACCAGGCCCATAAGGCGAGCAGTTCCTGTGGAAGAGGGACATGGAAAAGAATGACCTTCTTTTGTCTAGGCAAAAGCGGTGCAATCAGTTCTCCAGTGTCCTGCCCTCCGCCCACAGTCTGGTCTGGGTCCTGGCAGCAGGTGGTGCATTGAAGCATCCTGCCTAGTGGTCGGCATCATCATAATCCAGATCGAAGCATCATAATGTGCCATAATCTTCTCTGGAGACCACTGGTCACTGCCAGGATCTAGGAGTCTCTGTTTGATATAATAAACTTTTTAATTATCATTTTAAATGCCATATTCCTCAGATCTCTGAGGGCTGCTTAGGTATGTCTGATTAGACAAACTTTGTTTCTAGTTACTTGGTTTTAAGCTTGACTTTGAAATCATATACAGGAAACTAAAGAGGGCTTATCCCTGTAATTAATCATTTCAGTGCTTTGAGGATGACTGATTATTAGCTTGTATTCCCTAACAGTCTACAGTAATTTAGGAGCTTTCGTGAGACTAGGGTTTTACATTATATTCCTAACAGGTTTTGCCTTTAAATTAATGATTTTGAATGGAAACTAATAAAGAAAACTAAATTAGCCATTCCACGGGTAAAAATAGAACAAGTTTGTATCCAGCTGTTAATGCTGTCACCTGGGAAGGCAAGGAAAGGTGACAAGGAAAAGGTCTCATGGCAAAATGGGAACAGGAAGGACCTTAGGGGCTAGCATTGCCCTTGACAAGTTCTAAGGCACCGTAGTCATATATTAATGGCAGGGCCATAAGTTCCTTTTAGTATATATGACTTATCCAAATAGCTTAAGTTTAACAAAGTTAGCAAAGACAATGAGGCTAAACATACATTTTAAAGTCTGATTTGACCTTGAGTAAGGAGAGAGACATTTTCTAAGTCATTGGTTTTTAACCTTTTTTTTTTCCTTTTTGATGCTTTAACCTTTTAATATAGTTTCCCATGTTATGGTCACCCCCCTTACAAATTTTTTTCTCATTGTTATTTTCAAACATCTGAAATGCAGGTAGTCCTATGCTACCCCTGTATAACTCCCAAAAGATTGAGAGCCATGGACTTAGAAGCTGCTCCAAGCACTCTGTCAGACAACTTAGATCATTGTCTTGCTGCATCACAAGAAATGAGTATCCCAGCTTCTGGTTAATATTTGCTGCTTATGGCTCTGACCCTAATTTTAGCTTTTTTTTTTTTATAAGTCCAAATCACCAGCTCCCATGGTGTAATGGTTAATGCTCTGGACTCTGAATCCAGCGATTGGATTTCATACCTCGGCAGGACCTGTTCCTTGAGGAAGAGACTTGGTCAGTCATCCTCATCAACTCAGACCATGAAACTCAATATAAGCAGGCCGCCCATGCATGCTGCAGCACTGCGGGGGGCATATTTCACTTCACTTTAAGTTCATACATTAACAATATAAAATATTTTATAAGCACCAATGTTCCAGAATCTGCTCCATTTCATTGTATACTGTTTCTGATGACTATCACCGGGCACTGGCATTTCTAAAACTGTTAGGTTTTATCCTTGCAACTGGACTTTCCTTGGGCCTCTAGCCTTGCCATACATTTGCAAACTTCGGCTGCTCACTATGATCTCTTCCTGTCTTTCACCTGGTTCCTCTCACTCGAGTGATTTTTCCTGCCTTTTTTAGTTTTTGAAATTGACTTATAGAAACCAACCATTTTATGATACCAACAAAAGACTCAGAGGTGAATTCCATTGATTCTTTGGCTTTCAAGATATTGTAGTCCAAAAGACCAAAAAAAGGCACACGTTTGACTTGT